GGTGGCATGTTGTGGTGGTGGCAGTGCAGGGTCTATCAAAATTCAAACCCACATACTTGTCCAGTGTGTCATAGCTGATAAAGCAATCATTCCTATTTGTGAGTTCACCAGAGCTGGAATCCCAGTCACCATCCCATAGACGGGAAAACGGAAGCTGGGAGGCAAGTGACTTGTCCAAGGTCCCGGAGAAAGCAAGCAAAGAGTTGATGCTGGAGGAGCACGCTTGAACGACAGCTGTGTACCATCCCTGCGCTAACTGAGGCCTAGGCTAGACCACACAGCTCCAGGGACCCACAGGGCTCAGCTTGGGGAAACCTCATATTTCCCGAATCATCAGAGCCCATGGCTGGTGCGGGGAGAGCTTTGCCAGAACTCATCTCCCATCGGGCCCCGTGTCCACCTGCCCCAGGCTCTCCCAGCAGTTTGTCTGGTCTCACAGGAGGTGCAGGTTCACTGAGAACTTCTCTGGGAGCATCACGCTGTCTCCCTTCCCAGGATACTTCCTCTCCAGGGTAAGCCAGGACCATAAGCTCGAACATTTCCCAAGGACGACTCCAAAATAAATTATTTCAGACTTAACAGAGGCTGCTTAATACATTCCACTCTTCTAGTTTCTTTGGATATTTTAGAAACTGATTTATACATACAATATCTCTCTCAAAATGAGACAATCAACACAGGATAAAATTATTGAGTTATGAAAATAGGGGTCAGATGGAGGTGCAGTGCTTTAAATTAGACCAGCAAAATATATCTTTCATACTAAATTGACTCTTTTTGTCTTGGAAATGAATGTTTAATCAGTTAAGACGATGAAGTCGAGGGAGAAGCCTTAAGCATATTTAATTTTGTGAAAGGACCCTATTCCAATACCGCACATGATTCCTGCCAGCAGCCATACCCTTAAAGCAGAAGGGCCAACTCCCACGCATGTCAGGAGGTGGCATGGGGCAGGGCAGGGGACCAGAAGGAATCAGTGGCCTCTGAGATGAGAGCCAAGGGGGCTTGGCATTAATGAGGTGGCTGCCAAACGCCTTGGCCTCACCCACCTCTCCAGGGATGACATCCTTTTCTCATCTCAGCCTATGCAAACAGCATCTGTGGCATCCTGGCCATCAGAGCATCTTCTGTGCCACTTGTCGCCCTGCAGCCCAGCTGCTCTGTCCCTTGTGCACCTGCTAAAACTGAGAGGTCCTGGCTTACCCTGGAGAGGAAGTATCCTGGGAAGGGAGACAGTGTGATGCTCCCAGAGAAGTTCTCAGTGAACCTGCACCTCCTGTGAGACCAGAGAAACTGCTGGGAGAGCCTGGGGCAGGTGGTAGGAGATTGGAGTGGGGACAAAACTGGGCTTGAATTCTGGTTTTGCTGCTTAATAGCTGTGTGACATTCATTCATTCATTCATGAAGTACTTATAGAACCTACTATGTATCAGGTCATCACTTCCTTTAGGAAGCGATCACGCCATAGCTGAGCCAGGTGCATCCTCTAGGCACACACAGCACTACACACTGATCCTATCAGAGCATTTACTACATTTTCAGAAATGGGCTCTTCACCTGTCTCTCCACCTGCACCAGGAGTTTCTCAAGGGCATCTCACAGATCCAGGGCTCAGAACGATGCCTGGTACCTAGCAGGCTCTCAACAAAGGATGCTGTACAGCTGATCACCGAGGTAGGTTGAAAAATGGCCCCTTAAAGATCTCAGGTCCGAAGCCCTGGAACCTGAAAATGTTACTGTATTGGAGGGAAAAGTGTCTTTGCAGGTGTGATTAAGGCTTTGAGATGGGGAGATGATCCTGGATTATCCCTAACGGCCACCACGAGCATCCTTATAAGAAAAGCAGAGGGGCAGAAGGCAATGTGAAGACAGGCAGAGACTGGAGTGATGCGGCCACAAGCCAAGGACGGCTGGCAACCACAAGAAGCTAGAAGCAAGAAGCCAGAAACAGATTCTTCCCCAAGCTTCTGGAGGAAGATCGCTCCTCCTGACACTCCTGACACTTGATCTCAGCCCAGTGATACTGATTTCAACTTCTGGCCTCCAGAGCTGTGACAGAATCAATGTCTGGGTGTTTTAAGCCACCAAGTTTGTGCCAATTTCATAGATCAGCCACAGGAAACTATACCATCACCTACCTGGCCTGCGCCTCCATTTCCTCATGACGGTAACACCTGCCTTGCGCGGTTCTCGGGAGCATTACAAGAGAAAGCGTTTGTAAGGCCCTCTGCATGATGCTGGACACCTCGCAGGTGCTGACACAATTCCAGCATCAGCCACAGAGCGCGCACGTCCACACGCAGACACACCCCTGCATCCTGCAGCTCAGACAAATTTAAAACGTTTTATCTTTAAGGGCACCTTGTCTGTCTTCGCCAGATAGTCCTACTAGATGGACATGCACTTACCCAGTTTCCCAGTTGGTCTAGCAGCCCTCCCCTGGGTCAAATGGTTTGGCTTATCCTTCATTACATAACATGGGAATATAAAATGCAGCGAACCTTTGAAAACTCTGACTAATGGAAGAAGGAAAGCTACCTGAATTTGTGAAGCATCTTTAACATGAGCTAGCCTTAAAGAAATCTGGAAAATGGCTGCAAAGTGCCTATTTGGACTGAGCCCAACAAAAGCATTTCCTAGAAGGAGCGATCAGGGGGTCGTCGCCGATAAACAGATAACGTCCTTTGTAACTATCAGAGCTACTGTAACCAGCTGCCCTACGAAGGTACCTGAGAGAGGGGGTATCTGTAGTCTGTTCCTTTAGGTAAACGAGACTTATAGGAAAACACTGCCGTTTGGTTACAGTGGGAATTCATTTCTATTGCTAATAATAATAATAGCAAATATTCCCTGATTGTTTATTATCTGCCAGACATTTGCTAAGGCTTTAGATACAGTATCTCAGATACACTTTACTGCAGTCTGGAGGTGGGTACTATTATGACTGCAAGACAAGGGAACTGAAGCTCGAGAGGTGGAGCCAGGATCTAAGGCAGGTCCCTGGGACCCCAGAGCCACGCACAAACCACTACCCCACACTGTCTCCATTAACCGCCAGCACGGCAGGCCAGTGACGCTGTGGCCCGGAACTGCACCATATGCACCCTGCACTCACGACCCTCCCCAGAGGCATCAGCGGGGCCCTGCCCTTGCTTGTGGTACCATAAACCCCGAACCGGGACAGTCTGGAGCAGTGAAGTTTTTGTTAGGAAATCAGCCAGGAAAGCAGCTAAGGTATGAGCATGCTAACGAAGTGGCATTAAAACCACACGGCTGTGAAATCTTCGGGTCTCTCAGAGCAGAGGAAGCTCAGGATCTGCATTATTGATGGGCCCAAAAGGAATGTATTCCTCGAGAAACGCGACATCAATTCCCACCGAGCACTTCAGTCAGACCCCGAACATTATAAAACGTGGAGCTTGAATTGGCTTCCTTCCTCCTCCCTCCCTTCTCTCCTTTTACTTCTCACTCAGCTTCAAATAAAAAAAAATGTGATGTGGCTTACAAAAAACACATAGAGTATGCCAGCTTTTTTTAAGCAAGGAAATTTGGTGGTAATGAGAGTAAACAATAAACAAGTGAAATACAGTCAAGATTGTTAGGATATAAACTGTATGCCCAAGGTCCCAGGCATCTGCTAGAATTGGGCCACCAATTTGGCTGTGGCCTCTGAGCAGCCTCTGCAGAGGTAAATAGGATCCACCCAACCCCATGCGATTCTGAGAGGAAATCAATTAAGCAGCCGCTCCTTCCCTGCCACAGGTGTGTGTATTTGTGACCCAAACTGACAAAATCAAGGAGTGCTTCCTCCTGGACACAAGGGTTGGTCCAGCTATGCTCCATCACGGTCCTCCCTGGAAGATCCAAACTGCCACCCGTGAGAGATGCCAGGGAAGATGTTGGCTGCCAGTAGCCATGATGCCTGCTATGTGTAAATGGGGATGGGATGCGGCCCTAATAACACTCCTGGAGTTCCTGGATCTAACCATGCCTGAAACCCTTTGTCCATCCTTGGATATTTCAGTCTTTTTTGCTTAAGCTAGTTTTAGTTTGGTTCCTGTCACTTAGGAATGAATGTAAGAGTTGTGATTAGTATATAATACTAACTATCAATGAAATAGCAAGAATAAACACAAGTCATAGTCATTCAGGAGAAGTACTAGAATTCCCTTAAGGAGATTTTCTTATTATACAAAAAATCTCTACTGACTTTCTACAGGTCTTGATTGTTCAATCAGCCATTCATGCTAGAAAACCATACATTTCCTTAGCATGGGATTCAGGACCCTTACGATCCAGGCCCTGCTAGCTCTTTTATCTCCCCTCTCCCTCCTTGGCTTCAGGTCCTTTCTCTCCAGCCCAATAAAAGGAATGAACCACATGCTGCTCCCAAACACAACACGAGCCCTCTTGCCTCCTGTTTTTGTACATGCTGTTTTAAGATACAATATTTTAAAAATAACATGATTCCATTTATATGAAAGATCCAGAATAGGCAAATATATAGAGGCAGAAAGTAGATTAGTGGTTGCCTAGGGCAGGGGGTTGTGCAGGGCACTGGGAATGATGGCGAAAGGGTGCAGGGTTTCTTTTGGGGTAACGAAAATGTTCTAAAATAGATTGTGTTGATGGTCACACAACTCTGTGAATATATTAAAAACCACTGAGTTGTACATTTTCAATGAGTGAACTGTATGGTATGTGAAGTATATCTCAAAGCCAGTAAACTTTTTTTAAAAGATGAGATTACACTATTAAAAAAATAATAAAACAAATAATACCAAGATATTATAAACAGAGCTCCAGAAGTAAGTCGTGTGAAGACATAAATTTCCCTCCGCGCCTACCCCCCATATTCTGCAGACCCCCATGGAAGCCACCGACTGAGCCTGGACTCTGCACAGAAGCAGAGGGTCCTCATCAAGGCACTGGCATCCTGAGCCCCCTCAGCCCCCCCCCCCCATCACCAGTGGGAACCGTGGTGGGGGACAGGGACTCACCGTGGGCAGCTGGCCTGACAGCAGGTGGCTGTCCTGGGCCAGCATGTTCGATACCATGATAGCGGGGAGGTCCATGGCCTGGTAGGAGTAGGCAGGGAGCAGTCCGTTGGGCGCGAGGCCGTGGCACAGCGAGTGGTAGCCGGCTTCGTGGTCCCCCAGGTGCAGGAGGGATGGCTCGGGGAGGTTGGGAGGTGTTATCGGGGGGATCTCATAGTCTTCGTTGCTCTCGTTCTGGCTGTTGTAGGTCTAAAACATCAAAAGGGCAGGTTGTCGGGGGTCAGTGTCTTACAACTGCAGAAGATACGAGACCAACAGTATCAACAACCACGATAACAAGCCCCTCGGCAAAGGAGAGAAGAGATGATCGTCTGCAAAGCAGACAGTCCAGATGACCTGACTCCTGTCCCACCCCCAATACAGGGGGTCTCTCCCACTACAGGGTCTGGATGCAAAACCCTGCCCTCCTGCAGAGTAGGGACAGCTCCTGTTCACCTGTTCTCTGTTTTCCCACCAGATCTGGCCACTGCAGCCCACCATGAATCCATCTTTCCACACCCACTCATTTTACAGATGGGAGAACTCAGGTCCAAGAGACAAGCCACCCAGGCAAGGTCAGGAGAAGAGCTGGGAGTGGAGATGAAGAGTCCCAACTCGCTGCCTGGTGGTTTTCCAGGGCAGCTGGACAACTTTCTCTCGTCAGTTCCCAACACCCGGCCAAGCGGGTCCTCTCTTGGTCTTTCTTGTCTTGGTAAATAGTACAAACATTTCCCCAGGAGCACAAGCTAGGAGCCATACTGGACACCTTCCTTTCCAATCCTTATTTGTTCATTTTCCCCACCTCACTGCACCGGCCAGGAAGCTCCAGGACAATGTTGCATAGAAATGGTGAGCGTGGGCACCCTTGCTTTTTTCCTTATCTTAAATATCCCAATATTTTACCACTAAGCAAGACATCTGCCATAGGTTCTTACAGGCATTTCATAGCAGGTGGAGGGCATTCCTAGTTTGTCAAAAAGGTGTTTATTTTTTTTTTAATTATGCATGGATTTTTAATTTTATTGAACTCTTTCCCCCAGCATCTACTGAAAGGCTCAAATGACTTCAATTCAGTTAATATGGTAAATTACTTCACTTGGTTTTTCTAATGTTAAAATAATTTTGCATTTCTGGAATAAACCCAACTTGGTCATGATGTATTATTCTCCTTATGCACTGGTGGATTTTCTTTGCTGATATTTTGTTTAGGATTTTTGCACCTAGTTCATGAGCAGGATTGGGCTATGATTTTCCCTTCTCACACTGCCCTTGTGAGGCTTTGGCATCAAGGTTATGTGAACCTGGGGAATCATTCTTTACCTTCTACACTCTGCAAGAGATTAGACCCAGAAGAAAAGAGGTGTGTGGACCGGAAGAGTTAGAAAGAGGCCTCCCTCCCCCACAATTTACACCATCTCCAAAGAAAGGCAACATTTTCACGTCTGTGACACGGATCCTTGGAATCTGGGTCCTTATATCCTTAGAGGCAGCACCAAGTCATGGCCAAGGTGAGAACCTGGGCACCAAGAAACAGGTTTGGTCCGACCTTGTTACTGATGAGTTTGAGAAAGTAACCCCTCGCTCTATATTGTGAGGATCAAAAGCACATTTTCTTACACAGGACACTGATCCAACGTTTACTGTTACCTTGAATAAGAATCCTCATGACTAGTTACGGGCCACCCACTTCATGCTGGGTGTTTCATATGTGCATGACACCTAACTCATTTTTTTTCTCCACGATTTCCTAGTGTATAACATAGAACTGGTAAGTGTCCCTAATACCCCAGGTGTGTCTATAGTCGTGACCTCCTATGTCCCTCTAATTACAAATGTGTGTCTGATATGTTCTGGGATGTCTCCCTAACTCCCCACATATGTCTACACTGACCCGGGATGTCTCTTAAGTCCCCAGCGGTGTCTACCCTGTTGTGGGTTGTCTCCCTAATTCCCTAGATGAGTCTACGTTGACATGGATGTCTCCCTAATTTCCCAGGTAGGTCTACCCTGAACTATTTCTTCCTGGGTTTATTAAGATATAACTGACTTATAACTCATATCTAATTCTTAAAAGAATCCTGTATTCATCCCCATTTGACAGATCAGAAAGTCAAGGTCTGGAGGCTTCGCCCAGGTTACAACACTAGGAGGTAATCGGGTCTGATCCACATCTTCTCCTGCTGCTGTGACAGCAGCAACCTCTTCAAGGAGCCTCTGTCCACTCTGCTCCCAGCGCCCTTCCACAAATAAATACATTCCGAACACTCCTGCTTAAAAATTAGTACCTGTCTACGAAAAAAAAAAAAGAGAGAGAGAAAGAAAACCTTCCAAACATCTTAACATGGCACCTAAGGGTGATGGAAATGCTTTTCAGATTGTATTTTAATGCATTTTGGTGCATATATGTGGGTGTTAATGTAATTTCACCCTTAAGTGCATCTCTTTCAAGACAACACACCCATGTGTCAAATGATAAAACTGTAGTTACCGATATGAATGGTGCACGATTTGGTGAAGGGAGACTGCTGTAGGGGAGCACAGAGAGGGGAAATGGGAGGAGTACCCCCAAGTAATCAGAAATGAGTGGAGGAGAGAAAGCGCTCTGTGCCCCTCTATGCCTGGAACCTGGCCAGTAAAACCCCCACCCTGATGTGAACCCAACCATCCACCCCCTCTGCACCTGACCAAGAGAGCTGAGCACGGCTCTGGCCAAATGCCACCAGAAATCACGCTCATCAGCTCTGTGGGGTCTTCCATGCCCCTGGAAACCACTCCCTCCCAGCTCGTTAGTTTCCATGATGACTCTCTCCAGCCCCATCTTCTCTCCTCAGTCCTTTAGCTCCCTCTCTGCTTCTTCACCCTTTGCAGATGACCAGTTGCCTACTTCACAAGGAAAACAGAAAAATAGCTCCAACCACATCCTGAAACCAGGACCACAAACCTGCCCATTCAGCACTAACTTGCTTCCTGTTTTGGGGCCAGAAGAGCCATCCCTCCTTCTTCCTAAGGCCACTTTCCCTGCCTGCGTATGGAATGGTCCTATCCCCCCTTCCCTTCTTCTCCTGTCCCAAGGACCTCAGCCAACCCGCTAACCATTCTGATGCCTGGCTCCTCGGCCTCCCCCCTCTGCTGGACGATTCCCAAGAGCACAGAAACATGCTCAACTCTCTTGAGTCTTACACGCTTCCCCCATCCCTCTCCAGCTACCGCTATCTCTTCTTCTTCAGGTCACACTCATGTTCCTGAAAAGGCTGTCCTCACCCAGTGGCCCTCTTTCTCATCTCCCATTCTTACTCCACAGGCCACTGCAACCTGCCTCCTCCGTATGCAATGGGCCCTCACCAACCAGTGGCCTCCATGGCACCACATCCAATCAGCTTCTTTTAAATCGCATCCCACTTGTCCCCTCAGCGATGTTAGCCCAGTTGATCTCTTTCCTTCATCTTGAAAACACCCCTCCTTCAGCATCCAGGACGGCATGCTGTCCTCGTGTTCTGCCCACCTTCTCACTTCTGCTTCTCCCTTCCAATGCCACCTCCTCCTCCTCTCCCCAACCTTTCGTGTTGGAGTTTCTCGGACTCAGTCCTGAGCTCTCCTCTCTTCCTGCCCTACACTCTCTCCCCAGGGGAAGCTGACCCAGTGTCAGTTTCAGCTCCCATCTAGATGCCACATTTCCCCCTCCAATCTTGGTCACTCACTGGAGCTCCAGATCTGAGCATCTAAACGTCCCTCAATATTCCCACTTGATGTCTCACGAGCATCTCAAAGTCAACACGCGCAAAGGTGCTATCACGTCGCCCCTTCCCCCACCTGGCACCTGTGTCTCCCTCACTGGGTCCTCCACACAGTTAATAAAGCCACAAACTTAGGGCTCACCCTTGGTCACCCCTCAAACCCAATGAAACTCTTCTCAATATGTTTTAAACCTGTCCATTTCTCTCCATTCCCGCTGCCACTGTCTTGGAGCAGGCCACTACCACTTCTCACCAGGACAACGGCAACAGCCTCCTTACTGGTCTTCCACAGCCCACTCCTGCCCCCGCGCAATCCATTTCCCTCCTGGAGCCAGTGGGGTCTCCAGAAAGGGGATCATCTCATCACGTCACTCCCATGCTGATGATGCTTTGACGGCTCCCCATGGTCCTTAGGATAAAGTCTACAGTCCCAAACTGGACTGCGGCCCTTAAGTCCTTGCGGGGCCTGGCCCGCACCACCCCTCTAGCCACCGTTATCCTTCCTGCCTCCAGACCTCACATACGATGTGCCCCTCTGCTAGAAAGCTTTGCCCACCACACGCTGTCCCCTCATCTGGCTCATTCTCACTCATCCCTCAGCAATAGGTTTTGTTTAAATGACTTCCCTGAGACCCTCTAGACTAGGCCCGGGTGCCCTACAGTTCTTAGAAGCACTCATCAAACTTGCAGCTAACTAACTTCTTGTGTTATTATTTGTTTAATGCTTAATGTGCATTCTGCCAGGACAGCCCTTGTAGGTTCTGTGTTCCAGAACCTGGCATAAACTAAGAGCTCAAAATAATTAGTTGAATGGATGAATGAGCCAGGTCCTAGAGTAGATGCCACAACCACACATCTCACTCAACCTTGGTGACCACCCTGGAGGCAGGTGTTACTGTCCCCATTGTATAGGAGGCAGCATGATGTTGTGGTTAAGAGCCAGAGGGCCTGGGTTTGCATCCTGGCTCTGCCATGTACTAGCTGTGTGACTCTGGGCATATTACTTAACCTCTCTGTGCCTCAGTTTCTTCATCTGGGAAAAGAGGGTAATAACATACTACAAAGTTGCTGTAAAGAGTAAATGAATCAACACGTGCAAACTGCTCAGGACACTGCCTGGCACACAGCCATCCCCCCTCTCAGTGTCTGTTGTTATTGCTGTCATCGTTGTCCCTGCCTGGAGTTTCAGAGACATTAAGGGACTTCCCCGAGGACAAAGAGCAAGTATACAGCAGCTCACGAGCTCAGCATCCTTGCTCGTTTTTCCCACTGTGAATGTTCCGAACTCCCCACACCGCAGGTCTGCTGTGATGTCTGTCTTCAGCCTGACCACCGAGATGGGCTGGGGGCTGATGGCCTTTGGGTGGGACTCAGCCACAGGCACCATATCATCCCAGAAAGCAGAGTCCCAGGGAGCCTTCCCCGGTCCCCTGCCCATCCTACAGCAAGCCTCCCGCCCCTCACTCCCCCTCCACA